TCACTTTATCTCTCCTCTTCTACATTTTCTCCACTTCCCCTACAGTTCCCCACGTCACTCTAAACGCTGATGTTGATTACTCCTTTGTATTCTCGCTTGAGAAATTCCTAACACACTCCGAATCTCATACTAGAGTTCCGGATGATACCGTGACCGATACTGTTACCCAACAGGATGTTGAAAATCTAGATCATTTGATTTCACGCAAACAGACTCAAAGGATTTATGATGATTCGTTCTATCCCCTGTCTTCACCTATTAGGGTTTATGTGTATACTATGCCATCGAAATTTACTTATGATTTGCTGTGGTTGTTTCGAAGTACGTATAAAGAGACCCATAATCTCACTTCCAATGGCAGCCCTGTTCACCGATTAATTGAACAAGTAATTCGATATTTATTATTCTGGATTTTGTTTTAATGATTTCGTGTGACTTTGTAATTTATGGGGATTTTTTTGGTAATTTGTTGTTGTAGCATTCAATTGATTACTGGTTATGGGCCGATTCGATAGCACCGGAATCTAAGAGGTTGTTGAAGAATGTGGTTAGAGTTCACAAGCAGGAGGAAGCTGATTTTTTCTACATTCCATTTTTCACTACGATTAGCTTCTTTTTGCTGGAAAAAGGACAATGCAAGGCGCTTTATAGGGTGTGAGTGCGTTCCCAATTACTTTTTTTTTTTTTATTCTTTCCTCTTGCTAATATGATTGATTATTTGCACCTATTTTACAAATAACGGAAGCCCTTACTGAATTATTGTAAAAGAGATCTAGAAATCAGTATGCTCTTGCAGTTAGTGAGTTTATGCATTTTAATGTTGTTTGCATTTGATCGTGAATTATGAAAATTGACCATTGGGAACATTCACTTCTCAGCAAGAATCGTTGGATGATATCATGTACTGGTATATAACATTCTGTCTGTTGCTCAATCTTCTGTAAAAATTTAAGCACTGTGAAGGGTAATTTTAAGAGTTGCTGTATGCTTTGTATGTGATAGCCATTCATCCTACTCATCCTCTTGATAAGATTTAAATATACTATGTGACAGCAGGTAAACTACCCATGAAATTTATGCCAGCTTCATTTGAATGTAAATAATCCAACATCTGTTGGCATTCTCTTTATCTGGTGCATGTAAAATTTAACATGTTTTGGCAGTTTTAGAAGTACATATTTTCACAGGACGAGATCCAAGAGGGTAGTGAGTGTTGATAAATATACAATGGTGAATTTCGTTCTAGGCTGTATCATGTCTGGTGGGGTATAGTATTTGCATGTATGAAGGGTTTCTCATTCTATCAGTATCACTAAGTATCTATTTATAGATGTGTAATATGATGTCACATATGTTAAATCTAAACCTGAAATTTGGTCTCTCTTGA